AGAAAGAAGGTAAATGAAGGAAAGAAAGAGAAACAAATCAGAAAGAATGAATGTAATAAGAAGACATGAATCAAAGCAGCAAAAACTATTTACTTATTTGTATTCTGTTTAATGATGGCGTCTGTAATGCAAACTTTATATCATCAAATGATAGAATGATCAATGACTTGAGCAGGATAAGGATGCAAGTGATAATGTGGACGAGTATAAGGTACGGTAATGGCACTTGCCTGAAGGGACTTATGGTAATATGATGACGCAAGAAAGTAAGAACAAGAGAAACAAGACTGAAAGAAATTTATATAGAGAACCACAAAGAATTGTCGTGTTGGGTTTGCATCAAGCTTGTGTTAAGATTTAAGATGGCTGAACTGCTGACTCAGTGACTAACTGGCCCTGTGGCCTGGTAACTCACTGCCTTTATGAGTAATAGACTTACTGACGAGATGATTGGCTATCTTACTGATGCACAGTCACTTAAGAGTTAGGCTGACTAATTTTATTTAATCCTGACTGACTTCATAACTCACTAAGAGACTGATCCCTGATTTATATCCTGACCTAGTCATGACTGGTTCACTATGTAAATTATTACTGAAGATGGCAGCAGGAGAAGCTTTCAGAAATGGGAACTCATTCAAGATGGCATATAGCTTGAGATTAGCATATTACACAAAAAATGTATTCTCCGGAAACTGCCGTGAAGAAATGTCGTGAATGCGTCGACTTACCTGTGATGGCATCAAGACTGAACCTGACTCTCTTTGACCTTTCATCTGTTGTTTTGTCGCAGCGTTCTAAGTCTTCAGGCTGTGCAGTACACACGGTACAGAATTTAATTATTTTAATTTTCTGTACAAGACCTATATCATTTCCTGTTGTTTTGAGTATCCTCTGATGAAGTTTAGCAAGGCTGAAGTAAAATTTTATGAGTTTATTCTGAAATAAAACCATGCACAATGCTTACTTTACCACCATTTTCCAATTGAATTATATGCTGCAGATACAGGCGTTCTGTTGCAAATATAAATGTAATACTCGTTTGATCCTGCAGACACCATTATTTTTATTTGATAAACTAGTCACATCATAAGGTGTTTGAAATAAAAGTTGCAGATTTTAATGTGATTGAGACAAACACATTTCATATCATGGACTAGTTTTGTATATGATGACACATTTTGTGTGCAATGCATAAAGTCAGATTTAAGGCTGACATAAAATTGTGGTTAATTAAATCAGTACAGAACATAATAGTTTGCCCAACGACTCTTAAGCTGGTTACGCATGAACCACGTAGTGCTGCAACTGTGTATCAGCACTGAGAGGCAAACCACTGTCTTAAATAGTTTGGCCCAACAGCTTCTAGTATATTTCCCCCACGTCATCCCCAAATTGTAAGTTCCATAAACATAATTTTGACGCTTCTAGAAATGAAAAATGTAGTGGATGGAATTTGGACACACTGACTTCCCACAGTGCTATCATTTCATGTCCTTAACACAAAGAATGCTTAATATGAAATAAACAGTGACTAGAAGAGATTCTCACCTGTTTCCTAACCAACTCTATCTTCATCGAATAAAATGTCCTCTTTTTGGCCATATAAAGTACTTCCAAGTGCTTCAGCTCTTTCTCGTCCAAGAAAGGTTCTGAGGTTGTGTTTGAACTAGGAGCTGTAGCAGTTGAATTTCCAGTCTTCCTGCTCCTTTGTGCATATGGTGATCTATAAGATTGTATTGGAGCTGGATCGGTAGCTTTCCTTCTCCACTGTATGTATGGTGATTCATAACTTGATCTTGAAGCTGGATCTGAAGTCTTCCTCCTTCTCTGTGCATTTGATGAATCGTAACTAGATCTTGAAGCTGGATCTGAAGTCTTCCTCCTTCTCTGTGCATTTGATGAATCGTAACTAGATCTTGAAGCTGGATCTGAAGTCTTCCTCCTTCTCTGTGCATTTGATGAATCGTAACTAGATCTTGAAGCTGGATCTGAAGTCTTCCTCCTTCTCTGTGCATTTGATGAATCGTAACTAGATCTTGAAGCTGGATCTGAAGTCTTCCTCCTTCTCTGTGCATTTGATGAATCGTAACTAGATCTTGAAGCTGGATCTGAAGTCTTCCTCCTTCTCTGTGCATTTGATGAATCGTAACTAGATCTTGAAGCTGGATCTGAAGTCTTCCTCCTTCTCTGTGCATTTGATGAATCGTAACTAGATCTTGAAGCTGGATCTGAAGTCTTCCTCCTTCTCTGTGCATTTGATGAATCGTAACTAGATCTTGAAGCTGGATCTGAAGTCTTCCTCCTTCTCTGTGCATTTGATGAATCGTAACTAGATCTTGAAGCTGGATCTGAAGTCTTCCTCCTTCTCTGTGCATTTGATGAATCGTAACTAGATCTTGAAGCTGGATCTGAAGTCTTCCTCCTTCTCTGTGCATTTGATGAATCGTAACTAGATCTTGAAGCTGGATCTGAAGTCTTCCTCCTTCTCTGTGCATTTGATGAATCGTAACTAGATCTTGAAGCTGGATCTGAAGTCTTCCTCCTTCTCTGTGCATTTGATGAATCGTAACTAGATCTTGAAGCTGGATCTGAAGTCTTCCTCCTTCTCTGTGCATTTGATGAATCGTAACGTTTACTTTGTGAGCTTCCTGTGGTAGAATTTCTTTTCTCTCCACTCCGAATTTTGTTTCTTCCAGTGTTTATCTGAAAGAAATAAGATCGTAGGATATAGGAAAACCGAAGTACGTGATGTCCAAAGGGACCACTACTTTCTTCCTCATTTCAGGTGAGTAGTACGGCCAAATTCTTTCCAATTTGTGACAACTGTTCCTTCCAGATAACTCCATGGAACTGTTGTAAAGACATAATTGTTTAAGAAAAAATCTTCATCCTCATCGCTGTGAAAACCTCAAATCTTACAAGAAAATAATAAATAAACCAGCAGAATGTTTCATATTATGTCTTTGTCTTTTCTATTTGATTGTCAGTTACACAGTTTCTGTTTATCATAGATGATGTTATATCTGTTTTTCACTTCATCTCCTTGGAAACAGATATTCATCCGGTGAAGACAGATTCTGTTCACTGCAGTTTCCACTACGGTCAAATTTAATGGTAGTTTGACTCGAGGCTGTTTGCTCTCAAGTGTAATAATATAGTGAACCTAGTATAATATAGTATTTTGGTTGGTCCTGATGTTACTGAATGACACTGTATCAGGTACATGCATTGAGATGGAAGGACATGTATGTGCTACAAATGGCGTGCAAGTACCAGTAGGTAAACACTGTATTGAGAGGAATGCACCAAAAATTCCAAAGACATTCTTCACATCACGTAACAGGCAATGATGGTGGCTCTGTCTAAGAAAAAAATGTGACAAACAGCTATGGATGGGTCCTTAAGCAGTTCTTTGCTCATGCTAGAGCATGAAGAACATCTAAAACATCAAAGTCCCTGTTCTGAAGCACACTATAAAGACCAGTGTGACAGTGAATGTATAAAGCTCCATAAATTCTTAACAGCATGAGGTATCCATCCCCATTT